AGGGAGAGGCAGCAGCAAAAGTAGTGGCTCTCCCTATAGCTCCCAACTGTTTGCCTTTGCTTCTCCCCATGACCACAGCTCCCAGCTTGCCGGCTCCAGTAGCTGCTGCAGGGAAGGGGACAGCAAACCCTGGCAAAAATTGGGGGGGGGGCATGTGACTCCCCCACATGCCCCTCATGCATTGCCTCTGGCTTTTGCCCAATGGGGAAGGGGGGTCTTGGGGCTTCAGGTGCCTCCCATGGGGCTGAAACCCCAAGCCCCAGCAGTGGTGCCCTGGCTCTCGAACTTATGAAGATTATCGTATGCAGCTCGGAGTGTCAATAAGTTTAGCCACCCCTGTACTATGTATTGAGAAATATGAAATATTTGTGTATTTCAACCAGAACTACCAACATTTGAAAATGTTTTGAGACAATTTTCAAAGTAAGACGGGGTGGTCTCACAACAATCAGAGGCTTGTGTGTACAACTTGAGGTGTTTTAGTGTAGTTTTTTTTTAAAATGTATCAATGTCCTAGGGCCACAAAATTCCTTCTACTCCCAGGCAAATCCATGACATGAATGCTTCCTCTGCAGCAACAGATCCCTCTTTCCACCCATCTGGCTTTCTAACAGGAGCTAATGTAGAGGCATAGTCATTTGGAAATCTACGCCAGTCTCAGGATATCTAAGCCCTTGTTTCTGCCCCGATAAAAGAATTCTGAGGTGACTCCTTGAATAAAACTCATAAGTATCCTGTCCCCTACATGGGAGATGCATGTGTAGAAGACAAGAGAACATGAAAAACAAAACACTTTTCAGGCTATTAAGGATCTAGTGCCTACCAGACCAAATACCCATTATGTCTTGCGTTCTCCCACTCATAAACTGCATTGGGGTAACATTATGTGTCATTGCAATAATAGAACACTCTAAAAAACACACACAAGCATCAGACCTGACTGTCAATATAGCAAAAATGCATACAAACTCCAGTGATGGAAGATAAAGGTTCAGAGTTCAAATAAGCACCCTAAAACATGGGTGCTTAACTTACACCATGTCTAGATTAGCATTTATGTTGGCTACTTACATTGCTCCGGGGTGTGTTTTTTTCACACCCTTGAGTGACAAAAGTTTTGCCAACATAAATGCATGGTAAGTAGATCTAAGCTACGTCGATTTGAGTTACGCTAGTCACATAACTCAAATTGCGTAGCTTAGATCGAATTTCCCCTGTGGTGTAGACAAGGCCTTAGTTTTGACAGACCACTGAAAAGCTCGATAATCATACAGTAAATATAGTAAAGGAAGAAAGTTTCTTGGCTAGTCACAAGGAAATTTGTGTAAATCATACAAAGGCATTTCCTCATTCATTTCACTGTATTTGTTTCAGATTCTGCTTTTTAGCTCATATTCCATTAGAGAACAGCAAATACATCTGCACAGCCAGTAATGAGATGGAAATGATTTATGCCCTGAAAGGTTTACTTTCACTAGGTGTCATTGCCCTGAGGCACACCAGAATGAAAATGCCATAGGTTGGTGAGGAAAGGCTGAAACATTATTAAAGGCATAAATAACCATCAATAGCAATATTTTAACATATACATTAACATCCAATACTATCCCAGAGAGAGAGGGCAACAATATGAGGAAGAAGCCTTGTATAAGCCCCTGTGAGGTGATCCAAATGTTAGCCAGACATTCCAGCTGCCTTTGAGTGTTCTCAGCATTGTGTGTTTCAGCGACTTTGAGCGCAGCTGTTTTCTTTAGTGTTGCAGCCAGTATGTTTGCTTAGTGATGCTGGTAGCAGTTGCAAAAATGTTGATCCCAGGCCGAGAAGCTGAAATACAATTTTTTTATGCTCAGAGCTGTTGAGTGGCAGAGAAGGATATGCAATAGTTTGGCTGTTTTTCCAGGTCTCACTTGTAACATATGTAAAACTCCGTCTGCTTGCCTGAAAGCATGTCTTAATCTGTTCTCATAAACACAAAGCAGAATGATGGTGAAGAAGAACATTTTTCTTGAGAAGGAAAAGCATTGCTCAATATTTTCTAACAGCCCTTGGAAGCCAAAGTCCTCTACAGCCAAGTATAACTGCAGCTCAAGGGAAATAATTTCTACTACTTCGTAGTTTATAGGTACTGTAGTCAAAGTGGATGTTTCTGGGAATATCCATTCATGAATGGTCATGGGATGCTCAGGAACTATGATGACAGGATCTGTATAAGTACCCCAACAGAGCGTGATGAAACTGCTGTTAGATAGTATGGAACTGGGTACCAGCACAAAGAACAAATTATTTATGCCATACAGTCCCTCCTCAGCTTTGCCAAACATTACGGCAATCATACAATTCCTAATCCAAATTGTAATAGCAATACACACAAGGACACTCCCCGCTACATGCCCCTTCTTGCTCATTCAAAAAATGTATATCCCTTCTGCTGTGAAATCATTTCCGGAGCAGCTGCTTCCAGGAGATAGTAGTCCAGGAAGAGATACTGTAGCAATGCACAATCAACACTTCTGACACTGTAACATCATTGTGGAAAATACAGTATAGTTCTTGTGCAGGAAGGTCATTGATTGAGTGAATAAGACAGAAAAAAAATTTTTTTGGTCCCTCCCGCCTTCTAATTGCTCTGAACTGGTGGAGATACCTGCATATTTTAGCAAGTATTTGCCGTGTGCAGGGGCGGCTCTATGTATTTTGCCGCCCCAAGCACGGCAGTCAGGCAGCTTTCGGAGGTCCGCTGGTAACGCGGATTCAGCGTACCCGCCACCGAAGCCGCGGGACTGGTGGACCTCCCGCAGGCATGCCGCCGAAGGCAGCTTGACTGCCACCCTCACGGCAACCGGCAGGCCGCCCCCTGCGGCTTGCCACCCCAGGCACACGCTTGGTGCGCTGGTGCCTGGTGCCGCCCGTGGGCGTATGTCTCAATTTTATTTGCCAAGCTTTAGGGCGTTTGGAGAAGCAGTGGAAGTCATTCAGCATTTAGAAAAGGGTGATATGCTGTGATGATCTGGATAGGAAGGACATTACACCCAGCAATTCTGAATAGTTTCTGGATTTTTCATTCAACTAAAGTGAGATCTTCTGAAAGATGAACTCTCAAAGTATTCATTGTTTCAGCAGTGTGTGTCTCCAACACCACTTGTTTTTGAGTGTTGGGTAGGTTCAATAAAAAGCCTCATGAGATCATGGTTGTCTGAAGAAATCTTAGGGTAATTTCAGTGGATCAGATGTTGGAGACTCATAATTTATTAATGTACTCTTCAGAGCCAGATGAGTCATGCAAACACCTATTTTTGTACCACACTAGCTGTGTTAATTTTACTCATGGACTTTTAGTTGCTATTCCAGCTGACAAAAGTTATAAAGTATTTTGGTTTTATCTTATTTTTATATCACCCTATAATTTAGGTTAAGTTGTTATTGAATAAAATCTTCCACAGTAAATGTGTTACATGAAAGATTGTTTAGGCATACTCAATTTCAGTCTTTTTCACATTGCCATAACTAGATGTAGAAACTCTCAATGCGGCAACTAAAAGATAAATTGACAAACTGAGGTTTGCAGTTTCTTGTTCTATTTGATGTCAGGTAGATTTTAGTATCTTTTTTGTATTCCTGACAGATAACAGCTGAACATGTTAACCTTTACACTCATCAACAGTGAGTGATTTTTTTTTAGTATCCATGATCATAACTAGTTTTAATCCATCTCTCAACTCAAATTAAGTCATGTAAATGGATTTTAGTCCTGTCATTGGCCTCAATGTAACCCATTTAATGACCCATTTCCAAGTTGGCAGGTCATGCCAAAATCTTCCACATTGCATTATTTACGGCAGTTGCAGCATCCAGTTGGTATTGTCCAGGCTGCTCATATATTCTAACCATGTGCTGTAGAGAGTCCTATTGTCTCAGTCCAGAAGACAGGTGACAGGATTAATATTTTCTCATTATGTACAAGAGTAGTGAGAGAATTCACATCTTTGTGGTCTGTAATGCTCACCACAGTAAATCCTCAAAGGACACAACAACTGTTTCACTGTTTTATCTTTGAACCGTTGTGAATATCTTCTCCCATTGATTCCAATATTGCTAAATACCAGCATATAAAAAAAGAGTGTATTGAGTACAATTGGATTTGTCACGGTCTCTGTAAATTGAGGAACACTGCACAATTAGTTGTGGTTAGACTCTCCTTTCCTCGAAATCAAAAAAAATCCCTCTTCTGTTTGCAGCTTGTTTTCTAGAATATCTCCTTAATCACCAATGGATGAAAATTAATAAAAAGAATTAATCACGAAAAACAAACTGCCTTCTAGTTTGTTCACAGTATTCACCATGCGTTAAGGTTTGCACTTTGTGCTACTGTGTTTGTCACTGGGAGGTAGTTAATGTTACTTATTTCTTCTTTCAGAACTAGTAAGTGCCTCAAAAACCACCGTGATGAAGAACGGATGGATAAATGGGTTAGGGCTAAAAATGTGTCCTCGGTCCACCTTCTTGAAAGTGACTATCTATCTTGTGGTGTGGTAAATTTTATTACCACATGTCATGGTTGCTAGGAATGTTCTATAGGCTTAAGTTTTACAAGTGCATTGGTCCATTTGAAAAAGTTAAGGCAAGGTCTACACTACAGATTTATAGGGGTATAACTATGTCGCTTAGGGGTGTAAAAAATCCACACCTCTGAGTGACACACTCATATCAATCTACCCCCCGAGTGTAGACAGTGCTATGTCAGCAGGAGAGCTTCTCCCATCAACAACTACTGCCTCGCGCCAGGTGGATTAACTATGCTGATGGGAAAAGCTCTCCTGCTGGCGTAGGAGCATTTTCACTTAAGCGGTGCAGCTGCACTGATCCAGTGTTTTAAGTGTAGACCTGCCCTAAGACAGAGTCATTGGTTAGTAAGCATTTCGTCAGAGAAAAATAAAAATTGCTGATTAATAAGAGTAAAAGCTGCTGAATCCTAAAACTGTGTTTTTAAAAATTTGTTGCAGGAACTTCTATTACATCACAATGCTGAGGGATCCAGTGTCACGGTATTTGAGTGAATGGAAACATGTCCAGAGAGGTGCAACGTGGAAAACTTCCCTCCACATGTGTGATGGAAGAAGTCCAACGCCAGATGAGCTGCCTACCTGTTACCTAGGGGATGATTGGTCTGGAGTCAGCTTGCAGGAGTTCATGGATTGTGGTTACAACCTGGCTAACAACCGCCAGGTTCGCATGCTGGCAGACCTGAGCCTGGTTGGATGTTACAACTTGACTTTTATGAATGAAAGTGAGAGAAATATGATCCTTCTCCAAAGCGCCAAGAACAACCTGAAAAACATGGCCTTTTTTGGACTCACAGAGTTTCAGAGGAAAACACAGTATCTCTTTGAGAGGACATTCAACCTTAAGTTCATTTCCCCATTCACCCAGTTCAATATTACCCGGGCCTCGAATGTGGATATTGATGAAGGGGCCCGGAAACGCATAGAGGTGTTGAACTTCCTGGACATGCAGCTTTATGAATATGCTAAAGACCTCTTTCTCCAACGTTTTCAGTACTCCAAGCAAGAGGAACACCAGAAGAACCGGCAAAAACGGCGGGAGGAGCGGAGGCTACTCCGGGAGCAAAGAGTGCACCAGTGGCAGAAGGAAGAAGCTGTTACTGAAGATTATAACAGTCAGGTGGAGCGATGGTGACACTTTTCATTCTTAGACAAATAAAAGAAAAGAGAATTGAAAACCCTGATAACTTCTTGAACTTGGTTACTCAGAGATTACACAAGGAATGAGTGTTGCCTTGGTAAATGAGACTGAGTCTCACAGCTGCCCTTCTTTGTCTTAGTTTCTATCAGCTAGGAGAAGATATATATATTTTTGTGTTTCTCGATACATCTTATATGTGTTATTAACTGGCAGTGGAATAGATTCTTATCCAATACTAACTTCTTTCAAAGGCCTAAGCAATGAGAGTGGCTGGAAAAGAGAGCTTTTTTTTTTTCCCCATTAACAGATGTGTCATAGAATCTCGGAATTGGAAGGGACCTCAGGAGGTCATCTAGTCCATCCCCCTGCTCAAAGCAGGATTAATCCCCAGGCAGATTTTTGCCCCAAATGGCCCCCTCAAGGATTGAGCTCACAACCTTGGGTTTAGCAAGCCAATGCTCAAACCACTGAGCTATCCCTCCTCCAGTACAGATTGAGCAGCTGAAATTTGTGATGACATGAATAAAAAAAAATCAGAGAATCACTGAGCTGCCGACGCTGGTGTATTTCAGACTGTCCTGTGTAGCTGTGTTCTGTATTGAATGCAACAGAGAAAACCATGTTGCCCTTCAGATGTTTACACGCAGTGTTTTAAGTAAGAAAAAGAAAATACTAAATGTGATTAAATTACATTTAGGACTTGGTGACACATGGGGCTGAAACTATTTTTTTCCTTTCTGAAAGCCTGCAGTCGTGGGTGGTTTATAAGTGAAATGAGTTATATGGTTTTAACCTAATCCCTCGCAGATTTGGCTGTGCATCACCAAAACCTGCTAGTAAGCAAGCTCCATTCTGAGAGAGCCTGGCAAATGAAAGGCATAAGTACTAGTGCTGAGAAGTGAGATCCATTCTGTAGAACTTCCCATTCTGGGGAAGCTCACAGAGGCCTGTTCACCCTATCTGGATGGAGGTAACAATATCAGCTTTGACTTTTGTGAAAGGTGAAATCCACAAAGGGCGTGGAATTAAGAAAGGCAAGAAAAAGAGTGGAAAAAGTTTAAGTATTAGTCTGACACTTTCCAAATCTGTTATAAGGGCTCTGTTCATAAAAGTACATTTAAATTCTGAGAACAGAACTAACATGGTTTTATTACCCGACACGATAGTGACCGTGATCCATAGAATTGTGCACTTAAAGCAGTGGTCCCCAACTTTTGAGGGTCACCCCCCCCATCCCTGTCTGCGCCGCCACCCCAGAGCCGGGGCTGCAGCTGGGAGGGGAGGAGGTTGCGGACAGAGGTAAGGGGGTTGAGGCTGGGGCTGCAGCTTGGGGTGGGTCTGGGGCCAGGAGCAGTGCTGGGGATAGAGCCACGGCGAGGGGCCAAGGCTGGGGACGGGGGCAGGAGCAG